ACGAGATGAAAATACACTAATCAAGAACTATATTTCTCTGGGATGCTTCCGAGCTCTGCGCTGCTTGCGGGCGTGCGTGTCCCTTCCCCCGCATGGCAGCCAATAGCYGGGCGCTTTTTAATTAAGATTTTACTGCTGCAATTGGGGGAAACTGCAGCCGCACCGTTGCTGCAGCCCTGTCAAACTTGAGCACGGGAGCAGCCATACACGGGAAGCCTTTAGGTGAATCAAGGGGAGTGAGGAGAGGAAGAAACACCGGGGAAATCGGGGTTTCTCCAGAATAAATCTATGAGACCCCTGTCGTGTTTTATCGAGCTGACCCAGGCGTGAGCGCTGGGCCGTGGGCTCCGAGTGATGCGTGTTTGGATGCTGCCAGAGTCAAACGCACAGCGGGGATAACTGAGCAGCGACCACGCAACGAAATGCGGCTTTGCTGGTCATTCCTRTAATAACGAAGTAGCGTCGATTTTCGCGCGTGTGGAGGGCGCGAGCTGCCCTGACCATGTTGAGGTTCTCTCTGGGACCCCTTAGCTCTGGCGGCTCCGAGGGCCGGCGGCTCTCCGCGCTCGGCCGGGGCAGGACACTCGCCCCACGCCCTGGAACCGACCCAGGCGCCCGGTGCCAGCCCGGGCTGCTCCTGCGGGGAGAAGTGAGGAGCCGGGTCCAAGCCTGAGTTCCTCCCGTGGTTTGACGCAGGGAGTTGCACCCAGAGCCAAGCTGGGAGMGAAATCAATCTCGGGGGCTTTAAAGTCGCATTTCACCGGGTTTGGAGAAATGAATTTCTCTTTCCTCGTCCCGCCCGGGCAGCGGGAGCGCGGCTGCTCTGTGCGTGCCTAAAACAAACATCCCTCCCCCAGAAAGACACGGGAGCAGGGATGTACAAGAAGATTTTATTGTGCCTCGTCAAACAGAAATGAATTGCAGTAGGAGAGAAGGGAGGAAGAAGGGAGGGGTGGGGGGAGAGCAACATCCACCTCCCCGCTGCCTCCCGTCCATCCTCACACACACACAGGGCTCTGGCAGGCCGGGACGGAGCTGGAGAGAGCCCCGAGCCCGTGGCAAGTCCTGGCCGCGCCTCTGCTACTCTGGGCGAACTCACAGCTCAGGGGTGGCTTGTTTGAATAAATCTGCGAAATGTACGCGCTGTCTGGATTCACAGGGAAAGTTTTCAAAGGAAAATACGGGCACGGGAGGTATTATKGTAGTTAAAATATCAAACCGGTGACAAGTGAGATTCCGGGCTCTCCTTTTCTAAACGCACCTCGTAGGAGAAGAACAACACGGAATAGTTGTGTCCCGGTTGAAAGCGGACCTTTCAGCCACTTTCCTCCTGGAAAGCGAAAAAGCAGGGACTCCCTGAGCCCGGAGCAGGGCGCCGAGTCCGAGGAGAGGCCTCGGCTCCGGGTCAGGAGCGGCGCCGGCGAAGAGCGGCGCTTCCCGGGAGCGGCGGCTTCTCCTCCAGCCCCCGCCGCCTTCGGGCGCCTGCCGGGGCTGCTGCCGGCCCAGGGGGAGGCCGGAGAGGAGCGGAGCGTGGGAAACCGTCAAACACGCCTGAAATCGGGGGAGATTTGGATAAATGTTCTCAGAACTTGCTGAATCCTGGAGCTGCATTACATAGTTCTGCAATTTATTTTTTTTATTTAATAAATCCCTACTATTACGATGTCGGATTGATATAAAGTGTAACATTTGTGACATTTAAAACCAGCACATGGCTAAGTGTTTTGGGCGAAGGGCTGTCCTCTGCTGACTTTGGATGAGCAGCAGAAACAGGCAGTGGGCGTTTACAGAGAGTSCCCAGCTCTGGGACGCTGCACCCCAGCTCTGCCTGTTCACAGTGAGYGGGGCCGTGCTGCAGGAGCCCAGGGAAACAGCCTCGG